AGTCGTAGTCAATATTGGGTCACGACGATTTTCGCGGAATTTCCCAAAGTGGGCCGCAATCAGTAAAAGTTTGAGAAACGGTGGTCAAAGAACATTTGACAACGCTCTCTGAATGAATCACCCCTCGTTTCAGTGATGATTTTTTCTAATACTTGGGTGGTGTTTTTTCAGAACGCGGAGCTCCTGGTCTCATCCATGCCTGTAGAGCAGAACTGGCTCATAAACAGAAGGGTACCAAAAAGCCAAAAGTATATTCTGGACTCAGAAGACCGTAACAAAATCAAATGTGGTAAAAATTACACTAAAGTCTTTTTTACACGGTTTTTCGCGATTTACACGGTACGTTTTTAACGATTTCTCGACAACGGTACTATCACCTATCAACTTGATTTCAATCACATAATCCGTTTAAAGCTATAGGCCAATGGCATACTTTAAAAAAAATTACATTTTTTGGTGTAGATACAGAAATTTTTAAAATATGTCTATATGGACCATAGCATGCTATAATTACAAATGGCATAAACATCCAATTTTTTAAAAATATTTAAGCATGTGAAAAATCAAAATCTCGGTAAATCTCCGTGAAAAAAAGACCTGAGTGTATCTGGAAATATAGATGATCCCGGGGCAAATTGATCACCGCACAGAGGAGTAGCTAGAAGAAAACCTGAGAAATACAAGCAAACATGTTTTTGAAGTTTTCTATGTTGCAATCTGTTTTTTGTATACTTTTGGGAAGTGTTTAAACATTGACATAATTTGGAGGTTTATTTTATCAGAAATCAACCGTTTAGTAGTAGCCCTTACCAGAGTTAAACAAAATGATCAATAGAATATATTTTTCAGAAAATAACTTCCTTGTATTCAATGCTAAGATCAGCTAGAAAATGATCTCAAAATTCTAATGCTTGTTTTGAAGACATTTGGTAAATGGCGTTTTTTTTTTATTCTTGCGAGGTTCGATCATATAATCTATGAATGAATGAAACTTCAAGTTGTTATGCTGAGAATCCATCCGGCATTGGCATTTGTGAGCCTTTTGAAATCTGTATGTTTTCATTTTTTTTGCAATATGACTCAACATTAATTATTTCTACTTTTTGAATTGTTCCAATGCCTAATATCCCTCAAAACAGCAGTAAATAAATTCACCAGGTTTTTGCCTAGTTACTCCTCTGTGCACCAGGTGAAATTGATAAAATGCCTTGCGTTTTTAGCTGAAAATTTCGGTGATAGCATCAAGTGAAATCTTGATAGTATTTCTTCAATGATTGTTTTGATAAGTTTTTCTCAGCAAAAAAGAATATTATGCTACATAAATTTCAGTTTCATTCAAACATTCAAACAAACGTTTATAGAGCTGCAGTGATTGATTTCATTAGCTTGAGAGTAATGTTTTGCCTAAATTAAGTGTAATTGAATCCGAATAATATACAATTCATAACGGTAAAATTAGCCGGATAACATAAAATCAAAGGTTTCTACGAATTTCCTGTAATTTTTAAAAGAAATTACCAACTGCTTATTATAAGAAAAAAAATATATCTTTAGGGTTAAGTCTGCAGAAGTTGTGTCCGACCATGTATAAAGTATAGCAAAATACGCTACGAAGGGGAAATGTGGTCAACAATTGGATAACAATTTGCTACGTCATTTAGGGATTCTTCCTTAGGCATTTATGCTGAAAGCACACTTCTCACAAGGATTTATGCATCTGTTTCGGATTCAAGGTATCCAAATGTATAAAGTTCATTTACTATAAATACGCTGGAAAGCTATTTGAGGGGTTGAATTCATATTAAAATTCTCAAATTTGAAATACCACAATGTGATATGTAGTCGTGTAGTATGATAGAACTACTGATTTAAATATAATTTTTTCGTCAATGTCCATTTTTGTAAAAACTTATTTTGATATTTTCGTAAACAGTAATTTTTACGGTCTTTCAAATAACTTATTTGATCTAGGGGCTTTATCGAGCGCAATAGGATTATTATTTTTATTATTTCGGTCATTAGACCGAATTGTAAACAGTGAGATTTTGAATTAAGATTTTTTTTCGAAATCTTGAACTTGATACAAATGAGATTTAGTAAAAATTCTTGCAGATTTCGGAGCAATAACACTTTCTCCTAGTCTTTACTCACAGAAATCTTTAAAAAATGTGAATTGAGAAATTGCCTAAGATTGACAATGCTTCCAGATTGAAATTTGTTTTGAGTTTTGTGACTTATAACAATCTTTGTAATCTTAGAATCAGAAAAAAAAACAGAATTGAATTTTACTCATCAATCTGAGAAAAATACTCAAAATAAGGAACTGTGAAAAATTTCCTAGATTCTAAATTTTGCCCAGAAAATTTGTCAAGGCTTTGGGACCTAGAAGAATTTTTATTTTTCATTAAGGATCTTAGGGAATTTTAGGGTAAATTTTAAGGTTAATTTTAAAGAAATTGAAGTGTTCAAAATATAAACTGAAAAGGATTCTTGAAAAATTGTGCGCAAAAAATCTAGGACAGTTATAACCAGAACTCCATGATAATTTTGAGATTAAGTTTAAAGAAGGTCTAAGATTTCTGGAGGTGAATTTCTGAATTAAATTTAACTTCTAAATAATTCCTATAAAAATATCAAAAGTAACATATTCTGAGAATAATTTAAAAAAATACATAATTTAAAAGAAATTCTTAGGAAACTTTCAAGAAAATAATTCCTTGGAACAAGAAAGCAATAGATAACGGCGCCGGTGGTGTAGTGGTAAGCGTGATAACCTCTCACCCCAGCAGGCCTGGGTTCAATCCCAGTCGGCGCCGCCGGGATGTTCTGAGGCATAACATCTCTGATCACGCCTTCCTTCGGATGGGAAGTAAAGCCGTTGGTCCCCGGTTCATGAGTTGATGGGTCGATAGGTAGGGTCCAGGTGTGGGAGCTGCCTTCCTGGCACGTCGGTAGCATTGGTGCTCAGCACGGAAAACAAGATCGACGGAAAAAAACAAACCAAAGGAAAAAAAAAAAAAAAAAAGAAAGCAATAGAAGAGAATTCCATGGAATTTCTGAGGTAGTTTCATATTTCCCCAATATGATGATAGTGGTGCTAGTTTTCGTGGGCGAGCTAAGAGTTTCGACAAATTGAAGTTTAAATATTTGGTTACAAAAACAGATGCGTCTATTTTCAAATTCATCCTCGGATTTATGGGAAGATTTATGAGAAGAGAATTAATGGGATTTGTGCTCTCAAATCCCATACCTTGCAAAGTTTTTTTTTTTGTTTGCAAAATTTTCTCACGCACACGTATCCTTCCGATCATGTGTGCTTCTAAGTATCTTCTAATTTTCCCGAAAAAAATTATAGTTCAATCATTTGTTTGAGAATATTAAAGGAATCTAATTTTCAGAATAATTGCAAAGGAATTAGAAGGATTCCAAAGAAATTCTTATTAGAGTATCAACTAGAGTGTTTAAGCAGGATTCCAAAGAAATTCTTAGGAGAGTGTCAATGTAATTCCAACAGGAATTTAATGGCAATAACGAGGAGAGTTCCAAGGGAATTTAAAGGAGAATCTGATTTCTCTTTGAAATGTTAAATAACAGAGCACTAATAAACATAAACCTCATAATAATTTATGAAAATATTAATAAATTTATTCCATGTTCGGACTAGGAGCTCTACAGTGTTTTAAATGGTTTTCATGATACAAGAATAATGTATCACAATGGTTTTTTTTTTTTTGTAAGCAATACATATCACGTTACAACTCCCAACCTTGAAAACGGCATTAGATTCACCGGAAATTTTCGATATTTTGATTGAACAACTTTCAATTAGTATTAGTATTAAGCCAATTGAAAAGAACACATAAGTTGATAAAGTTGAAATCTACATGACTCAGAAATCCTCAGAAATTCGTAGGCTTAGTTTTCGTAAACCGAGATGGTTCTCTCGATATGCTCCTGCATTAGTAAACTTGGAAACGCCTGTTTCATACAACGCAGTATTAAATAGTTTTATAAACTACGTTATTCCTTTAAAATGAAGGTTAGTAGCAGTAGATTCCATTTTCGAATGACTCATAAGCTTTTGATGAATACCTCAAATCATTCCTTACAAGTAAATTCCCTGCATGATTCATAGTACCCTATTGCACCAGATACATGAAGCCACACCCCGCAAAGGAACTGTCCTTTTCGTAATGTGCGGAAAATGTCATCCACGGTTACAAAATGTGTGACGCCGTCCTTCTGAAAGCTTTCAAACCCATTAAACCAGCTATATCTGCTTTCGGCTTTCCACTTCCCTGCTGCCGATTAACGACAACGATTTGTCCGATCTGTAAAAACCTGAGCATCCCCAACACCATCTTCAACTCCTCCTTCACTTGAGCACGATTTGCATCCACAGGCGGAAAACAGTTGCACTTCGTTCACACGAAACACCGCAAATAATTGTTGAACATCAATTTCAATTTGCAAGTATTTAACGTTTCTTCGTCGTTTTCGTCTTCGTCTTCTACGCTGCTGCTGCTCCTCTCTCCCGTAATCATCAACATCACCTAGCTTAAGCGGTAATTTCCATCAATTTTCTTCGGTTTCTTCTTCGCCTTCCCCTATCGGTTGCACCAGTTATGAACGAATTATTGTTTTCAAATGAGCACTCCTCTTCTCACTCTGAGCGCTGGCTCTGATTCTTCGCGTCGATCAAATTAATATACACCCTAATTCAATAACGATAAAAAGCGGGCACCAACCAACCAACGCACGCAAACAACGACGACGTTTTCAGTGATTCTCGTATCCGAGAGACGGTGGTGCTATATTAGATCGGTTCTGAGCGGCGTCTAAATCGCAGAATCAGCCCAACAGCAACTTGTGTACAAAACAATATGACACTACGTGGGCGTGTGCACGACGGTGTCTGTGTAAGTCGCTCGTAATCTGCACATGCACACGAAAACAACAAAGCGATTCATTTATTTTAAATTGCAAATTATTTCCCGCACCTTTGCCGAAGCTCAAATTATTTCCCGATTACGGTCATCACTTTTTTTGCGACAACACACTTGATCACTTGAGCACACCGGGGAGATCGTTTGAGTTATCAATCGGTGTCGGATAGTGTAACACACCCGCGCGCGTGACTCACAGTGAAACCAGATAAACCGTCGGCGACCGCACCAAGCTCTGCTACGACGAACTGTTAACGAAGTACTAAATCACATTTATCCGAGGCGTCTTCCAAAAGGCCCCCGCTCGCTGGCTGCCTGCATGATGTGGTGATGATCCATGTGCGCACCGCCTCTACAAGGTACCTTCTCTCGTCGCCGTCGCCTTCGTCGTATCCGTCGAGCGAGCTAGCGGTGAACACGAAGATCTCGGGCGAACACGCTTTGGTTGGATTTGAAATGAAAACACACCACCAGCAGACCCGCAGAAGAGAAGAAACTCAAAAGATGCACATAACTCCACACAACACACCACCGAAGCACGTATGTTTTTATTATGGTTTTGTGTTTCACCTCGTGGTTGATTTCTTCGGACTTGAAATGCCACTACTTGGCGGAGCGCTGAGAAGGAACAGCCCTGTCGGAAAGTGACGACGCCGTCGACGAGAGCGCATGGATCTTACTATGTACTACTATGGGCATGGGAGAGAAAGTTTGCTAAAGCGAAATTTCTCCAGAGACGAAGTTACGTGCTATGCTTCAAAGTGCGCGTGGTTTTCTGTAGAAAAAAAATGCTAAAAGCTGGAGAGAGTTGGCAACCTCTCTCCCCTGTACAACACTCTCGAGAGCATAACTAAAGATCATTAAGCAAACGTTTCTACTGAGAAGATAAATAGTAGACCCGACGATAGGTGCCGCAGTCGCGGCGGTATAAGATGTGCATAAATGGAAGAAAATATGTGTCAGTGACCGAATATTCAAATCTCAAGTGCCGGCTAACGAAAGCGAGCCGCCGCCTCAACCACCGAGCCATCAACAAATCCGAATCGTTGGAATAATTGCTGCAAAGGGGTTCTCGTTTCTCGTGTTTTTTCGGGACTTGATAGACGAGTCTAATAATGAGAATGAATCTGGTTTGCCGGTTGGAATGGTCACGCAATGGAACTAGAACATTTTGGCCGCGATAAGCCAACAGCGTTAATCTTTACGACTCGGCAGAGTTCATGGACCTAATTTTCTTAAGAAAAATACCCGTCGTGCTTACGATAATGCAGAACTAGGATATGCAAATACTAAAGGCTTCCAGTCGACGTGACCTGAATGTGTTAGTAATGGGTCGCCAAAGTTCTAGCTAAGCAGATCACTACTGTCTGTTGACTTCAAAAGTTCTATTTTTTTCGATTTGTATTTAAGTCTCGAACTGCATGAAATTTGCACGAATTTTGCTGCCGTTTGGATTTGCGGGAATATTTTAAAGTTTTTATGGGACCATTTATGGGAAACGGAATGGAAATAGGGTAGAGAACTACTTCGGCCTAATCGCCCATTTTAGGCCTATCGTTCAGAAAACTTCAAATAAATCCATGATTTCAGAGTTAACAAGTCAATTATGCGTTTGGTACGATACTTTAGTTAATAAGCTACCGAACGAAGTCAATGAGAACGCGTGATATGAAGGTTTTCACCAATTATTCCCAAAAACAAAAGAAGTGCTCCGACCGAATCAATTTTTATCTTCATCCGATAGGCCGAAGTGAATTCATTGGCGTTTCAATGCATTATGCCGAGTTTAGAATCCGTAGGCCGACTTTGGCGTCAAGAAGCAGTGTTATACTTTTGACAATATTTCAACGATTCGTTTCTCTTTATCAAATCTTACGGTACATACGGAAAGGTAAATAAATTTGGAAGCCATCAGTAATAATAACATTCCGTTTGGTGCTAAACTGCGCTAGATTAAGAAAGACTAAGTGCGGGTTGTGCTTAATAGGCCGGAAATGGGGTAGTTAACCATATAGTACCCGTTCGATTTTGGCAACAAACCCGAAAAATTACTGTTGCCAAAATCAAACCCCGCCAAAATCGAAAGGTTTTATTTTGAAATTTAATTTATGATTTCGTTAATTTTGGACCACCTTTTATTTAAAATTGCAATCACAAGGATCAAAAATACATATTTATCAAAATCCGATGGATTTGTATCTAAAATCGAACTGAGCCAACTATGCAAAAAAAAACGTTTCCGAAGACCGCAAATCGAATCGACTATTGTACAAAAAGTTATTAGTCATTCACTTTTGGCCAAGTGCTCCGCGTATACCTAATTGGCATATATGTCAAACAACGAGCTTGCGCTTGAAGTGCCCAGCAAAATGTTGAATACTAAATGGTTGATAACTTTTGACACATGTCGAATCGATTTGCGGTCTTTTCCTTTTCCTTGATTTGTTTCCCGTCGATCTTGTTTTCCGTACTGAATACCAATGCTACCGAAACCAGTGAGGCAGCTCCCACACCTGGACCCTGGACCAGAGCTGGTGAATATCATGGCCGTCATGTGGAAATAAGAAAACAGGTCCTCTTACTATCACGAGACGAAACTACCTATCATTGGATTTCTTGTCATTTTCCAATGATCAAACACTCATGAGAATAATTCTTATGCGGTTTTGACATCGACATTTCTAACTGTAATCGGTAGAGTGAATATATAATTAAAATTTCGTCGATACTAGTAACAATAATAGCAATAAATGAGCTAGTAATTGCGATTACGTTTTCTCATCCGATGATAGTGACTGAGGTATCTCTGTAAATATCGCATAAGATCTTACATTGAAAATGACATTTGCCAGCCCTGCTCTGGACCTCGACCCATCAACTCATGCACCGATCTGCAGTCTTCGACAAAGTTGTTTTGACAAGACAAAATTGTTCTTCAAGTCTTGAAAAATCAAGCTCAGCGATTTATTGGCGCCATTTGAAACTACATACTATAAAGATTCAGTAGATTTCATTAGTAGATTTTAAATCTATCGGTAAATTGCTGAGCAACGATTTTTCAAACATTGTCAATATGCTGTTACACATTTTATCGGAGCGATAAAAATAAGAAGAAGAAAAAAAAAATAGATTTAATATTCTTAATAGGTAGTTGCAGAATCTCAAAAAATATTCTAAATCTGATACCTGTACTTTAAAAATTCATGTTAATCCGGAATTTTGCCACCGAAACTGATCCTAAAGCACCTCGATTTATTTTAACTCTTGAGTTCGAGGAAATAGAAAGAGTTTGAAACTGTCATGCACTTAGCACGGATATTAAATAATTTCTACGGAACTAATCCACTGATCTGCAGAGTCCATATTCAAGTCACAACTCCAAACCATTCACAACAAGTGTTCAAAAATGAGGGCCATGATCACTTTTTATGTCGATCAAGAACTTTTTATTATTCATTTCATATTCATATCACAATTTAAAATTAATTCCAGTAGGGTAAATGTAGGATTTATACGGTAGCTCTTCACTGGATTGTATCACCAAAACACTTCGCTCAACGTATTCAAACAATTCCTATGTCAGCTTCAATCTGATTAGTCTCGGAATCAAGCTTAGAGCTCTAGGGTCAGCTTGGTAACTTGGTAATTGTTTAGGCTTTTTCGGAAGACCAACTTGTTATGTCACGGACTTCCTTTAATTTCGAGTAGACCAGAAAACACCGTTAACCCTGCGAACTGAAGATCCACGATAATCTTTGAGAATTTAAGATAAAACCGGAAAGTTCTGTGTAGCTACACGCAAACCAAAAATCTATTACAATGAATGTTAGTTCCGTTTCCTATCATCCTCTTTTCATGAACATCGCAACGAATGTTAGAAATTGACCATGCAGGCGATGTAATGGTTTTTTGTCTTTTTTTATTTCGTGTTCCATCTACGCTTTCGACTATACCAGTAAGCTTGTAGAACTACGCACATTGTAGAACATTGTAGAACGACGCACACTCTTGTCTCGAATCTCTCCAGCAGAAAAAGCATACGAAGTCGAGCATGCGAGAAAATGAGCGCTTCATGTTTGCTTTTAGGCTAACCATATTCAGAAGCATGGAGAGAGCAGTGGAGAAAGCACAGGTTTGATAATCGCAACGTCCGTGGTTCGAATCCAGTCGGCAACCTTTTTTCTATTTTTTTCGACATAATTAATTTCACTCACTAATACACTCCACATTTTTCAGTCTCCAATTTTCCTGCATTGGACCGCAGCTAGGTATATCGCATCCTCGGTTCATGCGGTCTCCACTAACATCCTCTGATGATGAATCACACATAATTGTAAGCGAATCTTACATCCCCCGGTTGGGTGTAGTATTTCGAGAGCATCATAATATTTCAAAACTCTAGAAATTTCCAGAACCAACTACAGCAAACGAAATTTCAAGATAAGAGATCAGGGTAATTCTGGAACACTCTGACGCATTTCGAAAATCATTGTAGTTTCTAATAATTCAAATTCTGGAAGTCCAATTTCAGAAGTTGTGAGTATGGTAGACAGAGATTTGTATGAAATAATTATTATTATTTTAAACACAATTATCCCTGCTATAGTGGAGTTTCTAGAGCTTTGGTGCAAGAATCTCACACACAATAAAAGTGCCGCGAATGACGAATATCTTTCTAGGTTTATGAAGTTTCGATAACCCCGGGATTCCCCAAAGTTTTAGGTGGTGTTGAAAACATGATTTTTTTCTGAAGCAAATTCTCTGTTTTTAATTAGTTGTAAGTTAGATGAGATCTATTATTAGTTGTAAGAATCTAGAAATAAAAATCAAATGAAATATTTTCAAAAATTGGTTAACATTTACTTCTAAATATTATTATTCATCTACACAGCATCGATTGATCAGTAACTTGCTGAATAACAAACTTTTAATAGATGGTATGACCGCTTGAATAAAAAGTGAATTCGAGTATTAGTACAAGACACTGAAGAAGTCTGCACATTGTAGACGAAATACGCGTATCTGTCAAGGATAAGCAAATAAAGTAGTGGAATTAAATGGAAAATACTAATCCTTCTTTCTCTCATTATACAGGTATTCCGCTAAGACGCCCACATTCATCAGGAAAAAGTGAATTGATAGTTAAAAAATAGAGTTATAAACAGGCTTGCAATTGCTCATTACAGCTAAAATGCTATTTTTCGTTATTAAAGGGTGATACGGTCAAAATTTGGTCAAGGGAAAACGCGTGTAAATCGGTGAAATCGTTTATTTAAAAAATCATATTA